GGTCCACAGTTTCGACGGCGTCAAAGTTGAAGACGTGCCCCATCTCTGCAGCTTGAGTTGCCACCTCCGACTTTGGGTCCAGCCTTCTTACCGCCAGCTGATGCTCAGAGCTCTCAGCGCACAGCAGAGCGTGGGAGACGGTTATCAGGTGGCTGATACGGCGAGTGGTTGTCACCTAAATACGCGAGCTATGCAGAGCGGCTCAAACTAGATTGGCAGACTACGCCCGTGGACGAAAGGAAAGGCATATAAGGAAAGCCAAGAGCCAGAGTATTCACCCTCTGAAGATGGATAGACGAGATAAATATCAGAAACGACACATAATAAATAAACCTTTTCTGACAACGACAAAGGAGACCAGAATGGCCCTTTCTGGCTTGTTGGCCGTCATCAGTCTGTCATACCCACTCTTAGGGGTCGGGTTCTCGAGGTTCGCACCCGCAATCCCTGGTCATTGAGTTAAATACTCTACTTTTGCACCACAAGCTCGTTGCTTCGTCGGTTGCGATCGTGCAGATGAACTTTTTTGTCATTTCTCCTTTATTAATGCATTTACTAGCTAATTTGTTACTAATAGGGAGCTCATAGGCGTTTGCCTATACTTCCCTGTATAAACCTGACCTAAAAACCGGACCACGTTATTTTCTGGTAACCAGCCAATACTACTAGCAACTTTACTACGACTGCTTTTCACCGAATAAAGAAATCACTCTAAGTTGTGTGCTGCTTTCTCTCGCTAGGCGTCCTATTTCACGGCGATTTTCCCCTACATTATGCTGACCATTCTGTTGATCCGAGTCGCCCTGTTGCCCGGCGCATTGGAGGGTGTAAAATACTACCTGACACCGAATTTTTCTAAACTCCGGGATGCCACCGCCTGGACGGACGCAGCCACTCAACTCTTCTTCTCCCTCGGCTGCTGTAATGGTGCTCTGCTTACTCTCTCCAGTTATAACAAATTCAACAACAATTGCTGCCGGTGAGTCTGGTTGGGGGGTCTACGGTTTTCTGCAACAAGAACCTCGCAGTCGAA